GGGGGGGGGGGGGGGGGAGAAGAGGTTACTCCATAGTTCTCCTTTAAGATCAATTAAGCACTTCTATGGAAATGAAATGTGACTAGTAGACAGTACATTTCCATAAGCCATGGTTTGGCACATAAACTTTGAGAATGCAAATATTTTACATCCATAATGTGCATTATCAACAGAGCAGTGCAAACAACAAAACAAACGAACGATAGTAGGTATAGTGCAATCACCAAGAAGAACCATTTAGATTTAAGCTTTAAGGCCTTGTTCACACCAAGCACGGAGCAGGTGCAGAGCAGTTACAGAACACATCACAAATGCATCCAATGTATACCAATGGTATTTCGGGCTCTAGTTCACACCACAGCGTTCAGTTCCAGTGCATGTGGAAAAACTGCAGCATGCCATATTTTTTCCGCTCTGGAACGTACCAGAACACATGCAAATGCATCAAAAACACATGCAAACGCCAAGGAATGCACTAAAAGCCCATTTTAGGCTAAAAAATTATTTAATTTTTAAATCCAGACCGGCAAATGCAGAAACTCATGCAGATCCGGTCCGTATTTGGTGTGAGCAAGCCCTAAAGTGTATGCATAGCAGGGCTAGACAAGTTAATACTGAACTCAGGAGCCAGTCTGTCTAAATCCAGGAGCAAGCAGGATATTTTTAGGAGCCAGCTCCACTTGACAACTAAGTTGAAAAAAACAAAAAAGGAAAACAAAAAACTTAAAAGTTAGGCATCAGTTGTAATTTTCAAGCAGCATTGGCTACTGGACTCCTGGGATTTATCCAGCCCTTATGTACATCCCACACTTTTTTGGGGGGGAAAGAGTAGGGAAGGGTTAAAACCCGTTTGTTTTTTTTGCTGTCTGTGTACCAAAATTTCCTTCACTTCCTATCCCAGAGAAGAAACTGGAAGTTAGTGGAAATCTCCCAAAGTGAGGGGAATTCCCCTTTGAGACAGCCGTCACCAGAACAGGTGTCACTTTTGGAAAAATTCCCCTTGCCTCTTCTTCTGGGGACAACTCTAAATTTTAGAAAATCTACCCCACAGGTACACAGACAGTAACAAAAAAACAACACACCACTAGACAGAGGGTCTAACCCTTCCCCACTATAAAAAAAAAGATAAAATAGATGTTTTGTTCCTGGAAAAACACTGAGGGTCTAAAGACAAATGGATTTCAAATTCACATATTTACAACAAATTTGGTTAATGTATTATGTCAGCTTGTGGTTGCTGTCCGTGACCCTGATTTTCCTCCTCTATCTGTCCAGGTGACTAAGGTCACCAGGATCGAGAGTTAAGGAAAGTCCAAAATTCCAGAAAAGGAAGAGGAAACACTTTTTCGGTCATAACTTATAGTCCTCTCACTTTTTCTGCTGTCCACAGAACACAAAGATTTCCTTTCACTTCCTGTCCTGCAGACACAAGAGGAAATCTCTCCCCTCTCCATCTATTCAGGCGACAACACAAATTTTGGCCTTTCCTTCACTTTCAGCCCTGGTGACCATAGTCTCTGGGACCAAAAGTGAGAGTGAATCTCCCCACCGGGACACAGACCATAATTAAAAAATAAACAAACACTGATAGGGGATCTACTTCCTCACTACAAAAAGCTCTGCACTTCAATGAGGACAAATAAACTTAGCGAGTCAATGACCAGGGAGTATCTATGTGCATATCATGTATCATGACATGGAATATAAATGTGCTTCTTCCTGCTCATTGCCTCACCAAGTTGTTTTTAGGATCCAAGCTTCAGGGATTTCTTTCCTTCCTATTTCAAACTGGGTATGGGAGCTCACATTTTACATCCTGGCAGGTTCCTTTAAGGAGGAATACATAGAACAACACAAATGTATTCAACATTCTTTTTAATACAAATGATAATCTTTTCCCTTCAAACTCCTCCACACTTGCATGGCTTGTTACTGCAGATCATCATGTAACAAGGAAAACAAAAGCAAAAGCTGCTCCATAAAAGGAAAGATGGCAAAATAAAAAAAATAGATTTCGGAGGTTGAACCGGGTATATAATTTTTTAATTGTTTACTCAGTGAAATAAGAAAATGGATTTCACAGCAACAACAATCAGTAATAGGAAGGTGAAAACTAGCTTGAAATGAATACAAAATGGGCTGAAATGAAAAAAGTGACCAAAACAGCAAAGTTTAAGTTCCCCTCTTTAGATTTCGATCGCTAACTGTACTTGATGCAGTACAAAGACACCACAGATTTAAAGCCATTTAATGGAAACCTCCCTGGCATGCAAAACATTTATACTTACCGACTTTCATAAAGTATACTTTGTACCATTGTCTACATGATGTGACAGTATCTATCCAAGGCAGCTAGAAATGTACAATGGGACTTTTTGCAGAACAGTTCTTTGTGTAAACACATTCATACCCAAGTATACAAAAATAAAATAAAAGGCCTTAAAAAATAAACAACTCAATTTAAAAAACTGTATTGTATAGCTTATTATTAT